TATTATTATTATTATTATTATTATTATTATTATTATTNATTATTATTATTATTATTATTATTATTATTATTATTATTATTATTATTATTATTATTATTATTATTATTATTATTATTATTATTACGATCTAGAATCTCTAAAACGATCACTAGGATACCTAAATAGTCATCCCACGCATGATTGTACGCAATTTTATTTTTAATTATTTTTTTTTCTGCTTTGTTCACCATTATTTCTGGTTTTTTTTTTTTCTTTAATTATTTATATTATAATAATTTATTTACTTTGGAATTATGCAATAAAACTTAACTCTTCTTTTTTAATATTCTTTTTTAAATTCTTTTAATACATACTATATATATGTATGTATTTATTTATTTATATATAATTGCTATCGTGCGCGTTGTTGGATTTTTATATTTCTATATTTATATTATTAATTAAATTATTATTATTTATTATTATTATTATTATATATATTATGTATATATGTTTATATGTATTTATACATAAGTATTATGTATCTATATTTATATAATTTTTAATTGACATATAACTTTTATTATATATGCCTCGCGAAAACCAACACTCTCGCGGCGTATATGTGAACTAAACGGTCCCCTCATTTTGCGCGCGAAGCGTGCCCGTCGATAATATCATTTCCTATACCACTACCGAGACATTTATACGAGAGAAAAACATTATCGACCGATAACATTTTATTCAAATCACAAAAAACATTTACATTATTAGACTTATTTTCAATATTCGATCTAACAATCGGCTTCATTTTATATTTTTTTTTTCATTCTCATTTTTTCTCCATTATATATTTCTCTTTTTTAACAATTCTTTTTAATATAACAAATTCTTTTTCATTTCAATTTAATACTTTTGTGAATTTGAAAATTTATAACTCTCTCTCTTTCTCTCTTTCTCTCTCTTTTTTCCATCTCTCTCTCTCTCTCTGTTTCTGTTTTCTTGTTGTATTATGGTTTTTATTTCTTTCTTCTTAATTATTTATTTCTCTTTTTTATTTTTTCATCTTTTTCTTCATTTGAGATATACATATATACTTATATACACAATCCGTCACGTTTACGCATGGAAAAAATGGTTTTCTTGTATTATTATTATTATTATTATTATTATTATTATTATTATTATTATTATTTATTATTATTTAAAAAAAATTTTTTTTTTTTTTTTTAATAAAATGGAAACGTGACTAATACGATACATATATCTTCCACTGGCGATATATATATATATATTATTCTCAGTGTCAGCTAATTAAATAGGCACTATAGGTCGACGTGAATTCGTGATAACTCTCTTTTTTTCTCTCTTTTTCTCTCTAACAACTGGCAACGTTCAAGTCTATGCGATTTTTTATGGGCGGTTATTTGTGTCTTTTAAAAATTAGGATTAGAAGAAGGAATTTTTGTGAACAATGGGAGATGGATAATAGTTGTTGCGTGGTTTTTAATAACACGTATTATTTATTGGGTATAAAGAGGAAGAAGTAAGAAGTAGAAAGAGGGTGAAAGATGAAAAGGCGAAGTATGAAAAGGGCGAAGTTAAAGATCCTTTTTCTAATCTTATTATTTATCATTAATTATTATTATTACTATTATTATTTTTTTTATTATTATTATTACTATTATTATTTTTTTTATTATTATTATTAATATTATTATTATTATTATTTTCATGTTCTTTTTAATAATTTTTTTTTCGGTCTGTTGAGGGGTAGGTAATGTTTGTTATTTTATATAACTTTGTAATTGCATTAATTGTGTAATTATTTTTTTGTCCTTACTCATTCATCTATTTATTTCTCGTTTTGTAATTTTCTTTTTTTTTTTTTTTTGTATATTTGATGGCCTCCTAGCTCTTCGTGTCTTTTTTCCTTTCTTTCTTTCTTTTTCGCAAAAAAAAAAAAAGAAAACAAAAACAAAATTGGTACCATTTTCGTTTAGAAGAATTATTCTCGCGTATTTGTTATTTTATTTATTTAATATGTTTTTTTTTTCGTTCTTATTTCACTGTTATTTAATCGTTAACCCACCTAAAGAGAAATTCGTTGTACCTTTGTGAAACTTCACGCGAGAATATTCTTCTTCGTTTCTCTTCTGTGCGATAAATTTTTGTTTGAATTATTTTTCGTGTAATATCATCTTCTTTTTTTTTTCACACACGCACCACATTAGTAACTTCCCTTTAACAAATTTTATATACGTATACGTGTATATAATATTTTCATACAGGTTGTCGTGTGTTTGTATGCTTAAGCGTTGTTTTCTATTAAATGTCTTCGTTATTTCAAAAGATTTTCCCTAATTTACAATTTTTCTTTCCTATATTTTATTTCTTAAATTTTTTTTTTTATTTCGTTTCACTTCACTCGTTATTTCATTTGCTTCTTTTTTTCTTTTCTCATTTAAGTTTACTTTTATAATTCTTTAAGTATATTTTTATTTGTTTTTCCTTTTTTTTTAATTTTCATTTCTTTTTATTTTTCATGAAAGTGGAAGTTAAGAAATCAGATATTTCCAAACATTAATCACAAATCGTAATAAGCTTAATAAGCTAGTAGACTAATTAAAGCCAAACGTTATCGACATAAAGGGTTGCTTCTAATGAGGTCACAAATTTTTTTTTTTTCTATCGACCATTTTATCGATCTCTTCTTCTCTATCTCTTTCTTTTTCTCTCTACCTTTCGTTATTTGTGCCGAAAGTGCGAAAATAAAATGAAGATAAAAAAGGAAACGTAAATAGGCATATATTTACATAGATAATAAAGCTTATGTACATATCTTAATTTAAACGAAAGGAGGAAGCCATTTTGTATACTTTTGTATATTCTGTTTCTCATTTTTTTTTTTATATATCTTTCTCCTAATTTTTATTCTTATTTTATTTTTTCTTCTTTTACTTTCCTATGTCAATATATATTTTGTTGCTGTTATTACCTCTTTTTTTTTTAATTTATTTCAATTTGTTTCTCCTTCGTTTCTGTTTCTATCTTTTTTTTTTTTTTTGTTCATTTCTTTTCATTTTATTTTATTTTAGCAATTTAGCTGCTAGTGTTTATTTGCATTTATTCCAATCCATCGTTTCCACGTTTCATTTCGACCATATCTCGGACTCCATATTTTTTTTCTTCTATTTATTTATTTTTTTTAATTTTTTTTTTTCTTAAATCTCTCGCCGAGGAGTAAATTAAACTATTATTCTACGATTTTTGAGGCAGTATACTCATTTCTGTTTTATATATATATATGTATATTTTTTTGGTATGTGTATTTTTTTTTTGTTCTTTGTTTAGTTTTTTTTTTTTAATTTTTATTTTTATTTATATAGGTGTATGTATATCATTTGTCTCACTTTGTATACAAGTAAAATACGTTTTCTTTATAGCAAACACTCCCCAGGGGTTTTGCATTGACTATCGAGGAGATGGGCGTGCTAACGAACCTCCCCCCCCCTCACCTTGTTTTATGTTTTCTAAGAAGATTTTCATTTTAATATTATTATTATTATTATTATTATTATTATTATTATTATTATTATTATTATTATTATTATTATTATTATTAATCGTAATTAATGTAATTTAATGTTGTATTTATCCGTGTATGTATGTACGCTTTTTACTAATCCACCCCAATAATTGGTCCAAACCATTCTTTTAATTGCAATTTAAAAGACAGGGATTATTTTTTCTTTCTTAGTTTATATCAATAAACAATTTTTCAAGCATATTTATAATAAAAATAATAATAATATTAATACTTTAATAATAATAATAATAATATAATAATTAATATTATTATTAGTAGTAGTAATAATCGTAGTAGTAATGGTACTATTATTATTATTATATAGTAATAAAAATAATTAAAAAATGCTTCTTTATACGTGTGTATATATAATTTTTATATTACCTAATTTAAACTAAAACAAAAATTATTATTTATATATCTTTTATATACATATGTACAATGTACATACACACACCACACATATATACATATATATATATATATATATATATATATATATATATATATATATGTGTGCAATACAACAACAAACTCAAATTTATATTATAATAATCATTCTAATTCTATTATTTTTATCCTATTTTTCCAATCTTCTTCATTCTTCGGTGATTTCAATGCCAGAGAAAAATAAAAAATATCAATTTATAAAAAAAGAGAAAAAAATTATATATATATATATATACAAATCCGTGGATTGGTTGAAAGGTTTTGATCCTAACATCGAAATAATTATTTCTTAGTAAAACTCATTTTTATTTGAAAAAAAATAAAAGATTTATGTATTGAAGCTCAAAACTTTTCAACCTACCCTAGTATATTTATGGGGAAAAATACTGCGACTGGTTTATCGCAATGAGAATTTCACCATAAAGATACGTCAAAAAAAAAGAGGCATTTTTTATTTATATTATTATTATTATTATTATTATTATTATTATTATTATTATTATTATTAATATTAATATTATTCTCCTTCTAAAAATGCTAATTATAGAGAATTGAAATATAAAGAGTCTCTAGATTCGAATTCTTAACGAGAGTTTCGTTTTCGAGATCTTAAAATCGATGATAATAATATATTTAATACTTAATAAGAATATTATAAACCTATGCGAAAACGCCTCTTTCTCATTTTCTATGTGTATACGTGTTCGTGTGTTATTTTTATTAATTATTCGATCGATTCAATTTGTTTCTCTAATCGTATATTATAATAAGAATAAGAATAAGAATAATAAGAAGTAGAAGAATAAGAATAAGAATAAGAAGAAGAAGAAGAAGATGATGATGATGATGATGATGAATAAGAAGAATGTGAACGTAGATCGTGTTGTTAAACTTCCTTCCAAGTATAATAATTGATACCTAATTTTCAGTAATTTAATTCTTATTGGCTTTGTTAGTTAATTTAATTACAGAAAAATTCTATTTTCTTCTCGCATATTCTCTCTGTCTCTCTTTCTTTTTTTCTCTTCTATCTTCAAATGAAATAGAATATTTGAAATCTTTGATTTGAAAAAGTCCCTAATCGAATTAGGATCAGCTATCGTCAGGGGTTTCTTGATACTCCTCGCTTTCTCTATGAACGAGTACGTGAACAACCGTAGCTTCAGATTGTTGTCTGATCAATGGCGGTCTAGATGGTGGTGCTGAATTTTCTGGACTCGGTTCTGTTACAAGTATACTGACGTCACTTCCGTCACCTATTGGAAGTGATATTGGTTCTGTTGTTGGTACTACTCCTACAAACCCAGTTGTTGTTCCTGCAGTTGATCCAGTTGCAGTTCCTGTTGTTGTTGTTATTGTTGTTGTTGCAGTTGTTGTTCCTGTTACTATCGTTAAGGGTAATTGTGGTGGTTGTAATACTGGTACTAGTGGACGTCTTCGAAGACTACTGCAACGACGATTGAAGGCCTCTTTAATGTCGCGTTGGAGAGTGTTCAGGGACAACGTCGTACCGCTGGTACGCAGTGAACTTCGTTTCGAACTCGGTGGACTCAGGACGTCTTCGTCTGGATAAGTTTCCACGGCGTCCTGACGGCCCAACGTCGCACCGAGCGATCTGCACAATGTTTTATTATTTTTTATATTTCATTTTGGTTTTTTGTGGTAGTTTTTTTTTTTTGTCATTTCGGGTAAGAGTGTTTTCTGTTAAGATTTTTTTTTTCTTGCCGTGTGTTTTATGTATTCAATCGTTATTAGATTTGTATCATTGGAAATATAAATAGTAACTTTAGATTAAAAAAAAAATAAAAATGTTTGCAACGAATATCTACTCTTTTAATTTTTTATGTGCAGAAGCTACTTTTTGTTATTTATTTTGTTTTGTTCAATACAAATTTGGTAAAGTCGATTCGATATTGTTGTGGATAATTTTGATATATTAATGTAAAATAATTTTATATTTAATATAATACAGTATTATTAATATTTTCATATCGTATAACTTGTAATTAATTTAGGATTACAAAAAAAAATTTACGATTATAATTAAATTTTTAATAAGGTAATATCAAATCGACATTACACATTTTCTTGACAAAATTAATATATAAATCATTCTCTTTTGTAATTAATTACGAAATGAAATGACAATTTGAAAAAGCGGTGTTGTCCTGCAATTACACATCGCACAGCCAGAGAAAAAAATGACCTCATGATTTTTCTAATATTAAACTATATTATGCGATACTGCAAATAATACTTTTTACAATATTTCTAATTTTAATGCCAAATGTAAATATATTTACATATGTAAATAAATGAAAGACACAATGTACAATAAAAAAATTATAAAAATAGAAAAATATCATCGAAGAATCAATTTCATTTCGTTTTGTTCAATATGAATATTGATGATGCCGCTATAATCGATTTTTAATGCACGAAATATATTGCTTATTATACAAGGTGAGCCAAAAGTCGTTAAATATTTTTCTTAAATCAATTAATCTATCTTGAAACTTTCTAGGTCAAATGTTTTAAGCTGAAGAACTTGCAAAGCTTAGAATTTTACGATTTAACCAAAAAATAATATAATAAATCTAAAAAAAAAACAGAAATTACTTTAACATTTAAATTTAGTTGAAAAACTTTGGACTCATCTTGTAAACGATTTGTACAAAAAAATTAATCGAATAACTGCCCGTAACGTGCGGTAAAAACATCGTGCATCTAAGTTTGACGTCATTGTCTTAACGAATGCCTAGCATAAACAACCTTTTGTTTAAAATTTTAAAAATATATATCTATATATATTTTGTAATAATTCAATAAGAATCTAATGCATCATCTAATAAAATGCTAAGAACGAAAAAAAAAACACAACAAAAGGAAAAGGAACATATTTTCTCGTAACGCCAACTTCCTGCTTTGTAAATTGCCAAGCGTATTTTTACAGGACTGAATATTTCTATTAAAAAAAAAAAAAAAAAAGAAGAAATTAAAAAAATTTAAAAAAAAATAGAAAAGTAAGAAAAAACAAATAGGAATGAAAAAAAAAACAACTTTTAAATCTATGTAACAAATGTCATCAACGATATATACATATATATATGTACATATAAATATATATGTAATCGAATTGAAATGAATATCTACGAGAATTTTCAACAATTTTACCTCGTTTCTTTGCTCGTTTCTTTGCCTGAGGAGTTTTGAAATGAAAAAGATTAGATTAATGTGTAGTTTTTATTTAAAATTCTTCTTGTTTTATATTTTGTCTTTTTTATTTATAAGACAAAAAAATTGTTTTCTATTCGCTTTGCATGAAAATACCTACGATCATCACCAACAGGAATAAAAAAAAACAATAATAAAAGAAACAGAATAAAACTACATCGAACTCCTCAGGCTGATATTCTACCATTGCTTCAGAAAAAAAAAAAAGATAAAAAAATATAGAAAAAAAAGTAGGAAAAATAAAAATATCATTCAATATAGAGGACAGAGTTATTAATAAGTGAATAATAAATCATCTTTGGATGAAATCAAAATGTCTACTTTGGATTCTATACTTACGTGTGAATCCATAAACGATATACACACACACACACACTGGCTAGGTGTCTATAACTTTTCTTTTTTAATTAAATCTAATAATAATTTTTTAATATATATATTTAATTTTCTTTTTTTTTTGTTTTCTTCATTTTCTTCGTGAAATGACAATGAAAAGAGACAGTTAATAAGTTTTCTGTATTTTTTTTTTTCTTTTCGTTCATATAAATGAAGAAAAATGAACAACGTAAGAAGAGAGAAACACACAAGAAAAAGAAAAGATTAATTAAAATATAAAATAGTTTGAAAATACGAACCTAACAGTAATGTGAGAATCAGATCCAGAACTTGAGGTTGCCGATGGTTGTTCCGTGGTTGGTGAGGGACGGGACACGGTAAGGGCGGGCGGTTGCAGGTCCTCGTGGGTTCCCGTGGCGCCGGAGAGCAACAGCAAAGGTAGATTTGGAAATAGCCACGCTGATGCTGTCCCGAGCTCACTGAGATCGCTGGCGTCGCTGGCCCTGGAGGACTTGCGGCTACTGGCCCGGCTACCTCGGTGTACGTGCAGCAGGGCCGACAGCTTTCCACCCCAACCACCCCCGCCCCTACCATCACTCCCCACACCACCAGGACTCGATGTTTGCGTCTGTGAATCCACCTCGTGCGCGATCCTTTCCCTTTCCTTCTTCATCCTAATTTTATTATTTCATCCAATTAATGCAAAATGCACATATATATGTAGGGCGTGAGAAAACGATACAGTTCTCATAATATAATTTAAAAAATAAATTAAAATAACTTACGCAATATATTCTCTAATCGTACGTTGAATGAGTCTGGCAGCTTTATCCTGACGTTTCCAAATTCTGGTGGAAGACACTATTTCCAATTCCTTTCTCGTTGGGAATTGCTTCTTGAATTTAACGTCCATTTGTTCTTGAAGCTTACGGAAATCATCGGATTCTTCAACGTGTCCAAGAACGTGCTTGACAAGTGCGTGCAAGATGTCCAGACAATGGATCTTGTTACCCTTCGCGATGGGAAGATTAAAGCTTACCAACGCTACGACATTGGGCTTTGATATTCCCAGAGGTGGGTCTAGGCTCGCTATGAAATCACTTAGCTGTGAGAAGCTGATAAATTGGGTTGCATGTGGATCATATCTGTAACAACGATAAACAATTATTAAATAATTTGAATTCATTAGATTGATGAGATTTAAAAAAGAATAAAAAAGATGATAATATGACGTACTTTGACCAACGAATATAAAACATTTCTAGGTCATCCTCGACGATACCAATTTCTTCTTCCTGATGAGCCTGATTGAAATTTTCCAAAATAATAGCGATGTACATGTTGATGACTATCATATAACTGATGATGATAAAAGAAGTGAAGTAAGTAATTGCCAATAAAGGATATCCGCAGTCGCCGTTCATTTTCCTACTGGTTGGGGTCGGATCGCAATCAGGTGCTTGTACCATGAGTGATTCTAACACGTCATTCCAGCCAGCCGAAGTCATCAGACGAAAAAGTAATTGCATGCTACGGCCGAACGTTTCGAAGTTTACCTATAAACAACGTCATTTATATTTATATCCAATTATTAGTTTCATATAATATAATAATTAAAATTATTTTTTTCTCACCATATCATCCAGAGCTCCTTGTTTCCTGACATGTCCAAACACGGACATACCAATAATGGCGTAAATGAAGGTAATCAGAGCAAGCAATGCTCCAATGTTGAATAATGCCGGAAGACTGACCACCAATGCAAATAAAAGTTTACGAATACCCTTAGCAGCTTTAATGAGCCTTAAGATCCTACCAATTCTGAACACCCTCACCACCCGCAAGAGCGTCGGGGACACGGGAAAGTCCATCATAATATCTTCCATAAGTATTCCCAATATCGATGCTAAGACGAGTAAAAAATCGAATAGGTTCCATGGTACGGTGAAATAATGGTAACGCAGTCCAATTATCTTCACTATTGCTTCCAAACCAAAGACCGTTGTAAAGAATGCGTTAGATACTTCAAGGACGAAAAATATTGGATGTGGTTGATCGTAATGTTCGATTCCCATCGTCAGCATGTTGAGAAATATCAAAACGAAGATCGCTATTTCGAATCTGGAAATATGACAGAAGTTTATTGAAACAAAGCTAATTTATTGTTTTGTTTGGACACTGTACACGTGCTTTTAAAAGCTAGCCAGGCAGCCAGCCAGCCAACCAACCAACCAACCAACCAACCAACCAGAGCAGCGTTTAGTAGCGTTACAGGTGTATAAAACAGTTGGAATGTGTTACCACTCTTTTTTTAGAGCGACCTTGAAATTAAATAATAACTCAAATCAAATATAAAAATAAAATAAGCTAAGCGTTCCTTAGATTATCCTGAAAAAGTCCCATCTTCTTTATCGATAAGCGGTGCGCAACTGTTCCTCCTTTTTAGGAGTTTTTTATTAATTATTTTAATCTTTTTTTTTTATGTGTTTATATTGAATCTTGTCAAGCGAAATATAGAAGCGATGAATTGCGAGTCGAAAATGTAAGCGAAGTTGGCCGAAGAACTTTGATCATTCGTCTGACGAACGACAATAATCTTCGGCTCGCATAACGTCCTTCGTATGTTCCGCGAAACGAGCTCCAAATTATGCGTGTGTGTGTATGTATGTATATGCGCGTATGCACTTGTGTGTAGAACAACAACGAAAGCAATATCATCACAGTATAGTTAGAAAAATTATCAACTCGATCGTACGCTTTTATTCGTTTAACACGTTTCGTGCCATGTGTACCACCGGTGGTACACGTTAAATTTGTTCTGCAGGACACGTGTACCACCGATGGTCTAATTTACCATTAAACATATTTATTTAATGCACAGAAAATATATGTGTATAACAAATTTAATTCTGTACAAAAATATTCTTATTAAAATCTTGATGCATTATTACAAAATGCAGTATAGAACAAAGCACATAAGTTTGTTTAATTGTTATATTTACAATAATTAATAATTATATGTAATGGGTGATTTTGTTGAAGCAAAATTAAATGGCCTGAATGACAAGTCAGGTAAAAAGGGCTTGGCACGGAACGTGTTAATTATTATTGAGATTAGAAAATCAGATTTTGAGATTTTTTTTAATAGAAATAATATAAATTTATATAAATTTATTTAAATGTAAGATAATATAAAAATTTTTGCAATACGCAAACAGCAACGATCGATGTTATTTATTTAAACGTATAATATAAAGGATATTTAAAAATCAACAATATCAATATTAATTATTTAAACTTTAAATAAAAAAATTACGGTATTGATGAAATATATTTGAAAATTAAACAAGAATTCGTAGAAAATGATTGAAACCGCGTGCGATCGAGTAATCGATGTTTACTTAAAAAAAAAAACAAATAAAATAAAATAATTTTTAAATAAAATAATAAATTTTCAAATGTACATATAAATAACAGAAAAGAAAAGCTCTAACACATAATTACCTTCGGGAATTGGACAGGTCGTAGAACATTGCGAGGAATTGGTTGATCGGACGTTTTATTACTTTTTGCGGCTTTTTACGGCCGAGCTTTTTCATGGCAGTGTAGTAGTGTTTTTGACTCTCGGTCAAAAACATTTCTAGCACGCCACCTTCGTACTGAAATGGAAGAAGAACAAATAAAAGATAATACGATTTTTTTTTTTTTGATTAAATGAAATCAAATGAAATTCAATTTGAACATTAATGTCGTACCGTTAATATACGTATGATTAATTATAAACAAAAATATATTAGGTTAGGTAAAAAGTTTCTTCGTATTTTGTTTCAGATAAATAACTTTTGCATAACTGTTAACTATAATTATTGTAATATTAATCAAATTCGACAATACTCGAGTGCTTTGAAACTTGACATTTCATAAACTGTATTTTTCAAACTTTTTCGATTAACGAAACTCTTATGAGTGTAGAAATATTTCATGGAACTCTTCCCACGTAACACGACAAATGATATTAATACGATGTAATATATCTAAACAACAATTTGTGAAACATTTTAAACTCCCAGACTTCTGTATAATACATTTTACAAAATCACCATCATAGAATAGTAATTAAAAAAAGAAAGTAGTTGCAATGTTTGTTTGTTCGGTCAAAAATTTATTACATCTCAAAAATGAATATGAAAGTAAAGAAGAAATTTGATTATAAAACATAATGAAATGTTATTAAGAATAATAAACAAATTTGTAATGTTTATGAATACAATAGAGTATCGATACAAGTGAAAAAAAAATACTGATTCGAGCATTTTATTTAGGAAATTTAGGTGCTGATGATGCATCACGGTTTGATGACAAAATAGATGAAATTGTGGACAAATATTAAACAAAACCAGTACGTTAACAGTCGTAATTTCAGTAAGGAACTAAACATCGAATAGTTTGAAATCATTTGGAAAAGCTTGAGTGGAAGAAAATAGGAAGAAAATTTTACATTACAACACGAAGAAACATTGTTCCTGGCCTAATATATAAACAATTTATATTATATATTCATATATTTCATTTATGAAATGTTTATGCGTACAGTATAAGTGAATAATCATTTAACACATTTTACAAATTAATTAAAGACCTTGCAAGTCTATAGAAATGGTGTATTGAATAAGAAAGAGAAGTTTAAAAATAAAAAAACAATTATGAAAAATATAAATGAAAAATAAGATAACACGAGCTTACCTTCTTTTTTAACATGTTAAAGTTATCTATGATCACTCCGATGAATAGATTCAATGTGAAGAAGGAACCACAAACGATGAATATTACGAAATAAAGGTAAGCGTAAAGATTAGCTTCCCTTTGGGGTTGTAAATCTACACCCCTGGCATCAACGGCATCTTCCATTACTTCCATCCAACCTTCGAATGTGGCCACTTGAAATAATGCCAAGTATGCGATTCCAACGTGATCGAATGTTATCTTACTGTTCTCCCATGAATAATTTTGATTTAGGCAATCGTCCTTGGTATTTATAATCTGAGAAATAAAAAGAAACAAATTTGAAAAATTGTAAACCTTTCAAATATACAATTATTAACAAATTCTTTCAAAATAATTCAACATTTTTTTTTTTTAGTTTAAATTAGATATTTAATAAAAACTATTGGAGTATTGATATAAAGTTAGGCTTTTTAAAGAGATCAGATATTGCTTCTTTTTTTTTTCATTTATTTAAAAATTTTTTTTCCAAAAGGAAAAGGAAATTGATTTAATCTATTTTAACCCTTAGAGTGCTATGGACGCATATATGCATTTGGCAAAAATTACCAGAGTGGTCTATCGACGCATATACGTGTTTTTTAATATTAATGCAAAATAATGTAATGTTTATATTAATTAATTGAATTATATTCACACAAGCAAGAACTTTAATTGTTAAATATAATTGATTATTAATAAATTATTCCGTCCCTACAAAACATTTTAGTTAAAAGTATTCATCACTCAAAGGGTTAATATAATAATTGTAATGTTTTATTTGACAAGAAATAATTGTATTTAATGACTTACCGATATGTCCAATAATTCACCGTACTCGTCAAGACATTTGAAGAATTTACCACCAAAAAATTGGACACCCATAATCGAAAAAATAAGCCAGAACACGAGACAGACGAGGAGCACGTTGAATATACTAGGGATTGCATACATCAACGCGTTCACTACGATCTATACAATGTTGAAAATTAATATCGATTAATTTAATCATTAGTTTAAAAGATTATAACAGTAGAACCAATTAATTGTCATTTTTATGTATTATCATTTATGCGATTAACTGATAAACAATGGTAAACATTTTTAATTAATATATTATTAACTAAATAAATAAGATCAGAACTTCTTCTATATTATATTAAAATTACTTCATATATTTTATATATTTAAGATATTTTATAAAAAAAAAAAAAGATAAAATATTATAGTGCTTTTCTTGTTTTGACTTTTATGTGTAATTTAAAAAAAAAATAAAGATTAGTATTTTATAATAAAAATATAAAAAAAAGACATATATATTTTACTATACAGTAAATTGTTATTAAGAATATCAAAGTTATTGTGTGTGTGTGTGTGTGTGTGTGTGTGTGTGTGTGTGTGTGTGTATATACTTTTCAATACTATTTAAATATTAACCAACCCTGTTAATTGATATCCTATATTAAAATATATTTATATAAATATAGTAAACATTTATATACTATTAATAAACAACTATATTATTAGGTTAAAACGTTAAAATATAATGGATTTATTAATGTAATTAAATTATTATTAATATTACTTAAATATGATTAAACAATATTATATTATAACGCAAATAAATCTAGAAAAACAACATCTAAGATATTTAAAATATATACAATTGATCTCAACCCAATACATATAAGTTGTTTAATTAATCACCGTTCAAATGTAATTAGTTAAACGTCAGTCTCGTTGAATAGATAAGCAACACTTACCCTCATGCCTTGCCATCTTGATATTGCTCTTAACGGCCTCAGTGCTCTCAGCGTTCTCAACGAACGTAGTACCTTCAGATTTTCATTTTCTTCTATCAAAAGACTAAACATGGATACCTGTTGAAAAAAAAAACAAAAACCTTGTGCGATTGATATTATAAACTTTTTGAAGTGAAAACTTCTTTAGAATGGAGGTGATTTGAAAAAATCGAACGAAAATCCATGGTAACGGCAACGAAACGATGAAATGGTTATGGTACTGAAAAAAGTAAACTAGACAGACATATATACATCTATAGGATTTAACCTAAGAGAGAATGAGATAGAAGATTGTATGTATTGTATTTGTTTCTTATTATCTGGGTCTCCTCTTTATGCGCTGCTTCGTAGTCCCCACTCCTCGCTACTAAGTGTTGTAGATGTGTGTGTGTTTGTATGTGACTGCATACTACGAAGTGTAGACTCATATTATTTCAATACACACACTTCAAAGTATAAGTTAGTTCTTCGATTGGCCACTAGATTATCCACATTTCTCATTTTGCTTAAAACTATATCATAGTCTCTAAATAAAACTCCAGCATTAGAAAAATTTAAGATCTCTATTTACAGGATAATATCTGTCATAAATCTTCTTATGTTAGTATAATGTTAAGTCAATGCAACTGTGCTGAGAAGTTGTAGCTCTCTTTTGTAACCGGAAGTAAGTTATTGTTACCATGGATTTTCAGTCGCTTTTTTCAAATCACCCCCATTCTAAGTTTTCACTCTAAAAAATGTTACTCTCGTTTTGACTTATTTTTATAAATAAAATCTCTCTCAGACCTGTTATACTATCTGACTTGTTACACTACCTGACCTGTAACGTTTTGTATAATTTTTTTTTTTTAAATTATTTCTTTTTTTTTCATTCATTATTCAGATCCACGAAATATACATGCTTATGTGTCAAACATTTTTCTGATTTTCTTTTTTTTTTTTTTGTTTTAACGATAAAATGAGACAATAAATATTTTGTAGAAATAAAAAATAAAAGAACCTAGTTAATCCACAGACGAATGTATTAAAATTACGATAACATTATTTATAAAATAAAACAAATATTTATATTTACAATATATTTGTATTAAGATGGGACAAAAGTGTTTAGATGATTTTTGAAAATTAATTACTCTATCTGAAAATTTGTTAAAGTTGTAATTAAGCTTGTAATTAGTAGCACAAGACTTGTAATTTTATAATCTGGAAAAAAAAGTTCACACTTAAGGAGTCTCAAAAAAGAATAATTAATTTTTAATATCAAATAAAAACTTTTGATCCACCCAGTATATTTCTACGAGTGCATTTAAATTGATACAGTGATTTTCTTAAAGATAAATTTATTTTATTAATATTACGAAAATTATTAATATTATCCCCCCCCCCATTTTATCTTATTATTATTATTAAATCATTATTATATAATTTATTTCATAAAAAAAAAAATAGAATAAGAAAATAAACAAGCAAACACACGCGTTAAGCAATAAATAAAATTTGCAAAAAATTGTTAGCCCTTAAGAAAAATTCTTCATAAGATATAAATAATGTTACTTTTTTCAAGAAAAGCAATTCATTCGTACGCACTTTAAAACCCAAAAGGTTGTACATTACGCTTACATTACCAGAGATGATTCGGATGAATGTATATAAAAGCCATGGAGGACTTGTATCCATGAAGCATATATGAATATCGTTTAAATCAATAACGAAGAAAGAGTATACATATATCTATTTGTATATATAAAATAAACACAAATAGATAAATAAAGAAGGAAAGAATATATATAAATATATAAAAACAGTAATATCTCATGCATACTTGTACGTTGCATGCACCACGTTGATTTAAAATGAACGATCATTCAAAAAAAAAAAAATAATAAATTAATAAATAAATAAAATGACTGTGGAAAAAAAGAATTATCACTTAAATTAATAATCGATAAAATACGCTGTTAAAAAAAAAAGACAATCAAGCGTAAAAATTTGACGTACCTGTGTCCACGAGGCATCACATAAAACACACAGAAAAAGAGAGAACACCGAAACAACGTTTCAAATTGTTAGGCTGTTTAGAATTTTTGTTTGGATTTGTTTCTTGTCGATCTATGTAATGTGTAGATATAGCTTAATATATTCTATATACGAATAAAAAAAAAAAATAAAGCAAAATAATAATCATTTATAACACATCGATAGCTCTAATGATGAAAATGACTCATGCCGCTGCGACACAAGCTCGTTTATGCGCACCTCAGCTTTTGTTTTAATTGGCGCTCATATTATAAATTATTACTATTGTTATTATTATATACGTAAATGTATGTGTATGTGTGTGTGTGTTTATAATAAGTATAAAGAGTATTAAAAATTTTATTTAGCAGCCGACAAAAAAAATAACCATAAAAGCACAATGATTGACGTTTTACTTACGAAAACTATTATAAAATCCAGGATCGTCCAGAAACTGGTGAAGTATTTACAGAATCCTAAAGCCAACCACTTGAGAAGCATCTCGATGCTGAACAACGCGCAGAAAGCGAGATTGGTCCAATAAAGGATTTTTTTAAGAAATGGATTATCATCCAGGTAGATATCCTCGAAGCAAAGTGTAATGGAGGATGCAAAAATCAACACTAGGATCATCCATTCGAAGGCAGGTGTGTCAACTACCGATAAAACTACCGTTCGGATTCTTATCCATTTTCTTCCGATATCGGTTCGGATGCAACTATTAACACAGCTACATCTGTAAAAATAACAACAACAAAAACAAACAAATTAGCCAATTATTAGGGTTTCATCATTTACCGATGGCATATTTAATTGTAAAACAATTTTTTTCTTACGTTATGAATTTTAATAAAATTATTAAAGTGAAATTGAAGTTTCTATATCTCCAACTATGAATTAAACTATAACGTCGTTAGCATGGAACAGGATAAACAACTTCAGTTTACCGCAAACCACTGGAGTCTCAACATCAATCAATTTATTCTCCCGAAACTTCACTAACCACTACTCAAGAAACAAAAGCCGTACAGTTTACGAGCCACGATAGGGTCTAATAGTAGAGGGGTTTCAGCTCACAGTTTAACAGGACAGGTGAATAGGAAAAGGAGTTACTTGTGATTTACGGATTAGAAGTTGAACGACCCTATAATAAAAATAAGAAAAACAAAAATGTTAACTAATAGACTAAAATAAATAATAATAACTTACTTTTGATAACAATGTTGTGGAAAACAATCCTGAGGTTCCTTTGGCTCTTTGTTCCTACCAAACATGGGAAACGAACCCATCCCGTCAATGTATCTTCCTTTGCTATCTCTTCTACCGCCGACAGTTAACTCGTCAACGTAACTGACCAATGCATGCCAAGGTCGTTTTTCTATCCTTTCCTCTTTTCGTATCGGATGGGATGGTTTTTCTTCCGGCAACATAGCAACTTCCTCATCGGCTTTACTGGAATCCTTTAAAACGTCCATTTCAATACTTTCTTCAACGTTGGTATCATTGCTTTCATCCTTTTCCCCAGGCCTTTTATTTTCCTTAACGGTTTCTTGACTGCTCTGACTATAAGTGGTCAACGTAGCTTGACGATATACAGGTTCGTACGTGAAGACAGGTTGATTTAAACTCTCTTGATATGACCTGTTATAAATATTGTCTTTAGGAAGGCTTAATACCGTTTCTTGAATCGCATATTTCTCTTTGTCCGATTGATCCATAACTTCTCTGACTATTTGTTCCAATCTCATGTTCTTCTCGTTTTCCGAATTTTCTTTGCGATATTTTTTCTTCTTAACGATCGAACGTATCCTATCAACGGACCTAGCCAATTTCGAATCCTCCCCGACTTCCTCCTTTTTTTGCTTCAATTCCTCGGAATTAAAACTGTTGAGCAACAAGGCCAAGAAGAGATTGAGTACCATGAAATTACCCATCACCAATGCCGGTAGAAATATTGCGAAACACGTCCCAGCACCTTCCTCTTTCTCGGCACGCATGCAATCCCACAATGGTTCGATCCATTCGCCACAAAGTATACGAAATATCATCATGAACGAATGGAAGAAATCGTTGAAGTTCCAACGCGGTACCGGATCCGGATAAAACTTGTCCGACGTGTAATCCTTACTGAACAACTGCATCCCGATAACAGCGAATATATAAATGACGATAACAAGGACAAATGTTAGATTACCTAAAGCACCGATCGTTGAAATGATTATACTGAGTAAGACCTTCATCGTTGTCCAAGATTGTGCTAATTTTAATACTCGTAACAGTCTAAGACCTCTTATCACTGATAAACCATCGACCAATTCGAAGGTCAGATCTATCAACGAGGCCGATACTATGATCAAATCGAAATTGTTCCAACCGTTGTTAAAGAAATCCTTGCTAAGTGCGAGCAATTTTAAAAAGCATTCGAACGTGAAGATACTTGTGAACACTTTGTTGCCGATGTTCAATGCTTGACGTATCGATTCGCTCATACCGTGATGTTCCATCGCCAGAAAGCCAGTGTTCAGTACGATACAGAGGGTGATCATCAACTCGAACAGCGGATCTCTTACCACCTATCCCAAAGAAAACGGGATTTTGTTGTTTTTGTCATCGACCGATTGATTAATTTGCTTCCATTCTCCCTATCTCTCTTTTTTTCTCCCTCATTCATTCTAAATTAGCGTGTGTAATTGGGTGTATGCGCGCACGCGTGTATGTATGTATGCATGTATATGTGTATGTATGTATGTGTGGCTTTATTTGTTCTGTATTTTGTTTTGTTGTTTTTTTTTTTTTACCTTATATAGACAATTTTGAAAGCGTAACCATCCCTCGTAGTCTACGCAACATTGCATGCACTTCTCGCAGTTTCTATCTGGAAGATCGTCTGAAACAATACAAAATAATATATTTAAAATATATAGAATAGGAAACAATATAAATAATAAGTAGAAAAGAATTAACATGATTTTGAATACAGAAATCTTGTTAAAAACTAAAGTATGGGTTATTTTATATAAATTGTTCTCACAACTAATTGATATTATATCAAATAATGAATAATATAGATAAATAAATGTAAAATATGTGATTACAAATGTTACCTAAAACTACAATATGCGACAGGTACTCTGGAGGCAGCGCGTACATATGTTTCTTCGTTTTGACGCCGTTGCACTTGAGAACTCTGATCTCTCGATTGCTAGTCTTAACGGAAACGGTAACAGGAGCGGTTGGATAATCAGGACGTAAAGAAGATTCAGGATTATTTTGATCCTCATCATCCTCTTGATTATTATCCTTATCTTGAGGTTCTACCCTGTGTTCTCGATGTTCACGTTTATCATGTTCCTCGGCAGACGTAACATCGTCACCGTCGTGATCATCGACCACTCCAGAATCATCCAATGAAGATTGTTGATTACTGTTGTTACTTGCCTGCCTCGAATGCAACATTCCACGATTTGGTGCTAACCTATGCACCGTATTTCCTTCCGGTGGCCTAGGTGTTACATTTTGTAACGGAAGATGTGATGGTCTGACACTTGAGTGTCTTGGACTTGGACTTGGACTTGGTGTAACTGACCTAGGGCACATTTAAAATCATTGTCACATTAAACAGACTTTGTTTTGTCTAATAAAAAATCAAACAAAATAAAAGAAATGAAGGTTTTTTTGAGGGGAATATTTTAATGATTGAAATTTAATTAATATATAAATAATTGAGAGGAAACCTGCTACGTGCGCCACCATTTTTTTCTTGGCCCGCAGAACTTCTACCACGTTTTCTTCTTCTTGTCTTTTTTCTCGTGTAACTGCTTAAAAGTACACCCTTCCTGGCATCTATCTTTTTTTGCTTTTCTTTTGTGAGGGTCTTAATGTTGATCTTCGTCGGGTCGAAACTAAACGTCGAGTCGTCACGATGGTCGGTTAAATCCTTTCTTCTTTCCTACGATCAAAGTAGAAAATCCTTTTCTCATTTCTGCTACAAATTGAACGTGTATTCTGTTAAAACCAACCATGTATGTACACTGCACGCGAAAATATTGATATAAGTAAGAATAATAGAAGATGACAAAAAATGAAAGATATATGTTACTGCAATTAATTGTGTTAATTATATTTCAAATAATGAAATCATCGTAATAGAATATTTCTAACTAACCTCGTTCGTAATTTCAGCTTCCTCCTCGTAGCTGAGTGCTACGACAGCTAGCATCAAATTAATTAGGTAAAATGAACCAAAGAACACGACCACCGTGAAGAACGAGACGCTAATAGGTCCGCACGCCGACAATACCTGTTTCAAAAGTAATTCTATTATATCATTTCATTTATTCGTTTTATTATAAAACTACACAACACATTTATACTTACGTTGAACAAAAAAAAAAACAAACTGTATTACCTAATTTTTATTTAATACAATATTTTCACATACAAAACAGTATTAAATGATATAAATAATATATACGTAAATAACAAAATTAAAATAGTCTAAATATAATAAATATAATTTTATACTAAAATAATAATAAAAAAAAAAAGAATCTTAACAAATATGGACATTAAAAAGATAAGAAACACTCTAAAGTTATCTTAATGCATTAAAATGATTTAGGATTTGAAAAAAGTAGAGCAGAAAGATTGTAAAAGTCGAAAAGTCAAAGTCGTTAGATAAAGTGGAGAAAAAGTAAGAAAAGAAGAAAATAATGTTTAAAAAACAAAATAAGAAAAAGACCTTGTTATAGACGTCCTCCCAATAGTCTAGAGTAATCAGCTGGAACGTGGTGAGCATGGACCACAAGAAGTTATCGAAGTTGGTGTAACCGTGGTTTGGATTCGGGCCAACGCAAAGGCAGGTGTAGCTCTCGTTACAGTGTCTGCAATTAGAGGATCTATAGATCGTAGGAATTCGAAACGTAGTAGAAGTACCTGACTACGAATTGTTTAAATGAGTTTAAAAAATTGTCGGATCTTTCGGTCAACGAACACACACACTCCTTATGACATTATGCGAACCCACGTTCCACTATCTTTTATCCCTTGGACCATCAAATTTTAAATGACCATTTCTAATTCCTCTTAAAATCATTACTGTTTTATAAAAGTATTCAAAAATATAAAATAAGGTTCTTATACAATTTAATCTCATAAATATGTATATTTTTTAACGAGTACACTCAGAAATAGGAAATTGAATCTCCTAATTTTTATATTTATTATAATATATGAACGTATTAGAGAAAAGTTATTAAATTTATTAATATAATTAAATTAATAATTTAATATAACCAATTTATTGGATTGTTCTGTATCGTAATGTAATATTTATTGAAATATTACTAATAATACGAAATTATATCACTATAATACACTATAATTAATAAATAGATATATTTATCTATAAATATGATATGAGACATTTCTAAATTGTATTTTCCAAATAAAATTATATATATATTACTTGTAAAATATTTGATATAATTTAATGTTGTATTTTTATCAAAATATAATTTAATTATTAAATTTAATATACCACAATATTATTGATTTAATAATTATTACTATAACAAATCACAATATAAAAAATATATATACGTGAATAAAGAGTGAACCTTCTAAATTAATTTTCTTAAAAAAAAATTTCTTTTAATAAGAAAAAAAAAATACAATATTCACAGGTTTACCATTCCCTAATCTAAAAATGAGTGTGATCGTCTTGAAAACGTCGATGAAAAGCCAACTATATCCGCGTATACCTTGTTGGCTTATCTCAAGGGTCTGTATGATGGGATAGAGACGGAAATACACTAACCTGGCCCCGGTTACATTGCCACAGATGATTGGCTCATCGTACTCGTTCAAAGCCCAGTTGGACGAGTTCCAAGCCCACCTGTTGGGTGATATACGAAAAATTCTTTTAACGGGGTTTCAAGAAGTACTACGTTAAGTACCTATCTGACAATTTCCGTTCAGAACATTTCTACTTCAACGAAAGTTCAATAATATCATTCACCCTCTCCCTTCCTCTTTCTCTCTCTTTCTCTCTCTCTCTCTCTCTCTCTCTCTCGATTTGTTATTTTTTGCATTCCATTTTTCATTATAATTCCTAATACACAATTATTATTAAAACATTGTCAATGATTGTAAAAAATAATTCATATTCTTTTCAAATATTTTTACATAAAAAATGTTGCTTCAAATTTTAAAGTTATAAAAATAAAAAAATAAAACTTTTAATTAAGATTGCACAATATGTATTGTTTATATTTATATAGAAGTAAATTTGTATGTTCGACAAATAGTTCAAGCTTTCACAGCTTTGTACTTCGTCTTCGTGGTATCTTGCAAGTAAATTAATAGTTTCACAGCTTGGCCATTTAACTAAAGGATGTAAATAAATACACAAATATACACGTATATACGTCAAGACGAGTTGCCATCGTTAATGAATCTCTAGGGATTGCTTATATTCAAAGTAATTCTATGTTACTCGTACTGGGGATTAGAAGAGTACGTTTACTACGTAAATATCTTTACGTTAGGATTTATTTAAACACATGGGATATATTAGATCGAGTATAGTATAGTCTACCCAAGACTACAAAATGAATCCCTTGTCATAAGAATGTGTTTTCAGATTTTGATCATAGATCTGACCCACAATCTTGTATAAATTTACCAGAAATCTCATATGTGTAATTATTATCATATACCCACAAGCCCTCTCGTACATGTAACGTTTTGATTACTTTAAACATAAATTAATATAATTTCAAAATGATATAAACAAATATACAAATTATGTATAATAATCAAAATATTAACATATATAAAATTATTTCCAATGAAAATATGACGATATTTTTATTTTTATTCAATTTTTTCGTACTTATAATTTGTCGATACCATTTTAACAAATATAATCATATAAAAACCTACTCCATCCAATCGATCTGTGTGGTGTTTGGTTCTTGATGCTTCACGCATTTGTTCCTAAGTTCACCCATGTAAACTTGCAGAGCGAATAGGGCAAAAACCATCAGGCAGAAGATCGTAAGTGTCATTACCTCGGCTAGTTGCTTGAAGCTGTGCAAGAGCGCGTTAATAATAGTCTTTAAGCCTGTAACATAAATAAAATTATCGAACGTAAATATATAATAGAACAAGTTTTCTCCATCCACTTTTAACAAATCACCCCTCTCCTTACTTCACCCAACCTCGCTTCTTCCAAAGCCTTAATTGTGTCAGTGACATTTTGATTAATCGATCACTCGGGGAATTCGTTTGTGATTCGATGAAGTTGAACAAAAGAAAAAATGAGGACGATAGGAAGAAGGGGATGGTGGAGAAGGGGGATGATGATAAAGTTGGGGACGGGGGAGGAGGTTTAAAAAGAACGAGAGCTATGGGTTGATTTTCAAGCTCGATCAGAATTAATCGTTTCATTATAAAGTCAGGAACAAAGTATCCTGAAGAAGACGATGAAAACTTCTTCGAACTACATTTTATTTCTATCTTTATCTTTTTTTCTTACTCTCTTTTTTTCTTTCTTTCTTTCTCCCTCGTTCTCTTTGCAGTATGATGAAAAATCGATATTTCATTAGCATGATAATCGACAGAAATCCAATGGAAAATTTTGTACAAAACGTTAAGATCATTGATAATAATAATTCACGGATTCTCGTTAAAGTGCATACATTTGTGTGATGCATAGAGTGGACATAAAGATTTGTAGATGATATTGAACAAATCGATTATTCTTTCGTGAGACAATTTTTAGGTTAATCTCTTTTTACCAGAATCGTAAAACTTTGTGGCTTAAAAGGCTTAGAAATAAAAGTAAGTCAACTTTTTAAATCATCCAGAAAATTCTTGACTCATTCTTACTTACGTATAATTTCTTTTTAATTTAATATAACAATATAAATAAATATATAGATTCAATAAAATTATATTTGAAATTGATTTCCAATTGCAACATTTCTACAAAATTATAATCTTCATTTATAAAATAAGATATTATTTTAAGCAATTTATTTAGCACATATAATATAACCCAATCCAATTAAAAAGCAAGCTATATATATATATATAAACAGTAATGAAAGGATAATAAGTTTAGCGTGATTGACTTTGATTCAACAGCACGAAAATAGGTAATATTACAGGTATTACAATAACCTTCCAAACGAATATTTTTCTCAAACGAGTTAACGAGTTGCTTAAAGAACGATTCTATCGATCAAGGGTTGATAGGATGGTAAAAAAGGTATGAAGGTAGCTAGGTGAGTAGGTACAACGTTCTTCCGAGTGTTCAGTATAGTTTCCACTTGAAAGGAGTCGTTAGAAGGTATTCATTGAACGAGTCTAAAGTCGACTCAAGATAGAATCACGAGTGGCCACTGTGCTGCTGCTACCCATTGTTCCTCAAAATACTATCGAGTCCTTACAGATATATGTATATACATACATATATGTATCTATTAGGTATATAAGTCCATAGGATTTATACATATGTTAAAATTAAATTGTATATTTCAATTAAACCGTGAAAAATTCTAAATCATTTTATTATAAAGTTTAATTAATTGTTCTAAAAAATAACGAGATTATATATATATATATATGTATAAAAAAATTTACAAAAAGTAAATAATTAAAATATGAACATGTTCAAAATCGATAGTACAACATTACTAATTGAAATTCTGTTTTCAAATAACAAAAAAAAATAAAAACTGATCCACGAAGACTTATTTTATTTTCGTTTCCATAATTTTCATAAGAAATGAAATTTAATTCCTTAAATCAATGAAGAAACTCTATCTTGAGATTAGATAATTGTTCAATGGGATAGTCTTTTAAAAGAAGAAATACATAGTTTATGTTTTTGGATTTATTATATCGTTTGAACGATCGACCCATATAAGAGTTTTTAACCATACGACAATATGAACGTGTTTATGAAATGATACTCCCCGTTAATTTTATCGTAAAATAAGGATTAAATATTTAAATTGATATCAATTTTATTGTAAAAGAATATTTTGTTGTTAGAGAGGTGTAATTTGACATAAATGATATGAAATGAAAAAAGACTCACTATATACGTGTATACATATATATATGTTTATGTGTGTGTTTATATCCTTCAGAGGATCAGGTTTCTTAATGCATTATAAGATAGGATCTGTTAGCTAAGTAGATGTCTCATGTTCATGTTTCTTTACTTCAAATTAACTTTAACACTATACCACCCTTTATTGTACTCCTTTCAACCCGTGATTTATCTTTTACGATAATCCAAGCACATACTTGAGAAGAGAAAGAGAAAGAGAGATTAAATCGGTCTATATAAAACATTTGTTTAGTCTAGTTAAGTAATATGACCGTTAATTTCTGAAGTACCTTGATAATTTTTAAATCTAATATTAATTTTTTTTTTTCTAACAATAAGTTTTTCGTGCAGCACGTAATCAGATAATTTTACTTTACTTGAAGAAGAAAATATATAAAAAATTTAATTGATTTATCTGAAAATTCTATAAGAATATAAATTATTATAGAATATTATTTAATAATTAATTTAATTAATTCTATAAGAATATTAATTAGAGTTTTAATAGAGAAAATTAATAGTATCGATAAAATCATTCTATAAACATATAAATAAAATTAAACTTATTAATTATATAATAGAAACGATGATTTGTACGAAGCTTAATGATTTTTAAAAAATTATTATTATTATTATTATTATTATTATTATTATTAATTTTTATTCATTAAATTGAAGAAAATTATTTGAAATTTTTGAAAAATGTTTTATGATTAAAATTTATATATAAAATTTATAATATCTATAAAACTTTCTTCACACACATAGATAGACTTACACACATAGATATTATTAAATTTATTAAAGAGATAATAAAATCGATGTCTAGTAAAAAAAGTTCAAAAGCTTATAATATTTAAACTAACATTCACTATTTCTCCAACATCCTTTCATGTTTTACGTAATTAGATTATATCATTTAATTCTCTTTTATTTTTTTTTTTTTCAATATTCTGATAAAAGTAAAATGATAAAAATAAAAATGAATATTAAAACAAGGAATATAATTAATAAGCGATCAAATCAATCCTTCGCATTAATTTAAATCTACAAAATTAAAAGGTTGAAAATTTATAATGTTAGCTTGTTGATTTTTTTAAAACGAATAATAAATTTCATTCTTTTTTTAATTTATCCACCATCTTCTTCGTGTTGCACGTAATCGGATAATTTCATGTCATTATATTATTTTTATTTTTCCTTTTTTTTTTTTTTCGAAAAAATATATTACCTAAGATCTTTATGAGTTGACGATTAGTATTAAGAGCGAGTGAAAGAGAGAGAGAGAGAGAGAGAGAGAGAGAGAGACAAAGATAAAGATAACTAATAATCTCTTCGCGTTAATGTACACGCACCCTCCTGTCACCCTTTATCCTCCCCCCCCCCATTCTCTTCAATTACTTTTTTATTTAAAAAGGATAATATTTACAGTTAACGTAGTAGGAGCAAAGCCTTTCTGCAAACTGAACCCGACTTTATCCAAACCAAACTCACCCTCTTCTGCCCCTATCCCTCCCCCCTCCCAAACTCCTCCTATTACTACGTCAATCTCTTTGAAGCTCGACATCGACCTTCCTTCACTATCTCTTTCTCTTTCTCTTTCTCTCTCACACAGATACCCTAACTCTTATTCTTTTTTTATTTGTCACATTTTCCGTTTTATCGATTCGACGAAAATGAGAAGAAGAAGAAGAATGAGGAAGAAGAGGAGGAATTGGAGGAGATGAAGGAGATGGAGGAGGTAGAGGAAAACAACGACAACGACGACGAATTTACATCGAAATAAATAAAATGATGTTGAAGAAGATAGACGAAGGGATGCAAATCGACGAGGTGTAGAAGGATGAAAAAGGGGTCGAAGGGTGGTAAAGGGTGGGATTATATAGGGATGAGAGAAGAGAGACTATAGTAATTACCAGGGACGAGAATTTCGCAGGGATAAGCAGGAAGATTCCGTTCTACATCGGCAACCATCAGCAGTAGCAGCAGCAGCACCGCATTAACCCACCCCCGTTCCTTACTCTACCACTCTCCCCCTCCCCCATCCCTATTCTCACCCTTTTTCCACCCATCACTTTCTCGTTACTCTCATTAAATCAACGATCTTAAACGTATCCATACAAAGTTGCAAATTTAAATGCACGTAAAACGCAGTTGCAATTTATACTGCAACTACCAAATCTTAACATCGTTGATGTTAATAAACTCGTGAGAAAATATAATATCATTTAATACGTAACGCGATATATATTTGAAGATATATTTATCCATAAATGATCTGGCTGCTTGTGTTTCTAATTTATTTTACATTTCTCATCCTATTTTCTGAGAATTCTTCCGAGAGATCTTTTAGTCTTTCTCTGATTTCTTTTCTTGTTTTAAAGTTATTTCTGTCTCTCTATGTTTCTGCCTGTTGTTTTTCTTTTTTTTTCTTTTTGTCCTTTTTTACGTTAAGAGAGTTTCAGACAGAGAATTCAGGTGCTGAAAGATTCATGCATATGCTAATTCGTGACAAATGGGCGACACTTGGTATAGCCGTCAAGGGTGACGCATTTCTCTTTTTTTTTTTTTTTTTTTTTTTTAGAATTTCAATTTACAAATATACGAAAATATCTTTCCTAATTGGTTACTCTTTTGTTCTTAAAGTTTTTTAATCAATTTTTATTTCATTCTTAAAATTTCTTTGCACAAATTGTATTTTTTATCCAGTTGATTGATTATCAAAGGTTATTTACAAAATTTAAAAATATAGTCCACATTAAAGATTATATTTTGAAGGTAAATTCTAGGTTTATTTGCAAATTCATAAATTATACGAATAAAAATAATACACGTATGTGCAAAAGAAATATTTATCAGATTCAACATTTGTAACTCGAATGAGAAAACATTTATTATCCAAGATTAACGCGAAAGAAACTAGATAAAAAGAAAAAAAAATAGAAAAGTTAGTGTAAGCTGAGAGAAATCTCAATTTCCCAAACAATTTGGTTGTCACTCTG